TATTTATATAAATCTATAGGTATATTGTAATTAGTAATGTTACTTTACTTTTTTCTTGCATTTCGTTTTTATTTTTATTTCTTTTTTACCCCTTTTTTCCTTTCTTATTACTTTCTAATTTTAAATAGATTTCCACATATTTTTAAAGGGTTTTTAGTAGGTATTTTATGGTTGTGTATATATTGTGTATATATTTGGTGATGTGTAAGTATACATATATATAAGTGTGTGTGTGTATGTGTTTGTACGTATATATATATATATATTTATATTTATGTGAAAAGTGTATATATATATAAATAAATATATATATATATGTATAATTATTTATATATTATATGCATGGTACTTATTAGAAAGCGCTCAATATCAGAGATAGAGCTAACATATTTGTTTGGATAGATGTGAGTTTGTGACCCTGGGTTTCAAAGCGTGAAACCCAGGGTCACAAACTCACATCTCTCCAACCAAATATATTTATATTTATATTTAATTTCCCTTTTTTATAATTAATTTCCCTTTTTTCAGTATTATACGGCATTTTTTATATAAAGGGGTTAATTTATGTGATAATTAATAATTACATAATGATTTATATAATTTTACAATATTACGTAATAATATAACTTTTATGTTGCTTTGCTGTTAGGTAATAATACATAATTATTATGTTTATATAGGCTCTATTTTATATACTTATTTCAATCAATTGCTATGATTATGAAGTATTTAGAAATTTATTAATATTATAGGTATTTTTAATATATTAATATGTGTCTGCTATCTGCTTCACAACCGAGTAATGGCACCTGACTCAACGCAGTGCCCTCTTCATCTACCGGTACCCTTCTAGATGATGAGTGCACTAAAGTCGGAGTCAGGATCCGTCTTGGACTCAAATTATGTGAATGTCACAGATGCAGATGTGGAGCCTCCATCGATGAGTTTGGTTTGCATCCTCTCTCCTGTCGTCGTAGTGCCGGCCGCTTTCCACGGCATGCTGCCATTAACGACATCATCAAAAGAGGTTTGGATGCAGCTGGGTTCCCTTCCTAAATCGAACCCGTAGGCCTCGACCATGGTGAATGAAAGCGGTCGGGTGGCATTACCATTTTCCCTTTTGAAATGGGGAAGTCGTTGATTTGGGATGCGACCTGTGCGAATACATTTTCAGCCGGTAATTTAATCAGGTCCACGGTTGAGCCGGGATCCGTCGCCCTAGACGCAGAGATGAAAAAAATAGTTAAATATTCTTCTCTTGCTGATAGATTTTTTTTACTCCTGTGGCAGTGGAGACTTCAGGGGTCATTGGCCCTCGTTTGATAGCGTTCCTTCGGAGGATTGACGCGATTGCGTCTCGGTTAAGGGACGAGCCTCGCGAAACGGATTGCCTCTTGCAGCGTGTCTCACTGGCCATGGTTCGAGGTAATGCTTTCTCAATCATTGCGGCTGGCAGTGGATAGAAAAAATGTTTATAGTTACGTTGTTCTGGAATTGTCATCAGTGGTCAACTGTACTTGTTTTGTTTCAATAAATTTATTCTCTTATTCATCACAAAAAAACAATCTGTTCTATCAAACGTGAGAACACTGGGATTAAATGACAGTTGCGTAACTAGAAAACAGAGGTTGCGAAATTCGTAAGTATTCGAGAGAAAAAAAAAACATTCTGAAATTATTGAAGTGTATCTTACTAATATATATTGTATTATTTGGTTTGATGAACTGGGATTTTAAAATTTACCTTAGTATAATATTTAAAGAGATTATATATTTTTATGTATTTATTATTATTATTTTTATTAATATTTATTGTTTTTTTTATGTAATATTTAATATATTATTTAAAAATATTCTGTCTTACTTGTTAACGGTCCTGTTAACACACTTTCTTTTTTTCCTTGAAAATGCGTCTCCTCTTGGAGATTTTTTAAATTGGGACGGCACGCGGTTGAAGCAGCGAAAAATATCAATTTGGAATTTGGAGAAGGGATAAATAACGAGCGTTTAATCCAAAGAAGGCTTCAAGAATTTCTACTCGAAGATAAGTAAATTCAAAATAAGCCCCAAGGAAGATCTACGAACGTTGTTAACGGCGACCAATTGGAAAAGAGTGCAGTAGAACAACGATTTAATTTCTTTCACTTCATCTTCGAGTTTCTTCCATAACTAGTCTTTTTTGTTATCATTTGGCTTCTACAGCAAAAGGTAAAAGTCTGTAGTAAAAAAAAAATCTATACAAACCCTATATGAACTGCGTTGCTTAGTTGTATGCTCATATCTGCTTATTGGTATAACGACACATTTTCGAATAGTCATTTCTTCTGAAAAAAAAAATTTCTTTATGGTAAACCTCTTTTTCTTCTATGAACTGTGACAATTCAGGAGGTTGGCGATAATGGCTCTCCACAAGTCGTGAGGTAGGTTATGCGCTGTTTTTCTATGTCCCTCTTGCCTTCAATCTGTCCAGTGAGTATCGAATTTTCCAAACCCCCTTTCCCCATTATTTACCCCAGAAATTTCAAAGAGATGAATATACAAGATGATAGGTCCAAATCTGGCATCTAGTCTACAATCGCTATCCCACAGACGTGCTGTGGCCTCTCTCTGTCTCTTCTACAAGTATTTTCACGGCAACTGTTCCGACGAGCTAGTTTCGCTGGTTCCCGGACTACATGAATTTAAGCATCTCGGTTCCACCCTTTCACTGGCAAAAACAGTTTAATGTAACCGTCTCTTCTACTCAAACAGCTTCTTCTGCCGCACTTCCCGTCTGTGGAACGTCCTTCCCTTACTTCATTCCCCGATGACTATAATCTTCAAATATTCAAGTGTAATGTCAATCGACATCTGACACCCTGAGCTTGTTCCTTGTCCTTCTCTGTATTTTTTCTTCAAAGGCCATTATTTACTCTTGTTCTCAATCCTCTGTAACCCCTTACGTGCTAGTGGCACACCCACCTTGCTTGGCGTGAATTGCTTTAAAAAAATGTCGCTTTCTGATGTTAAGTAGACGTGTCCTTATTGTTTCAATTTTCTCGTTGCTCAGATGTTCATGGTATCCCCAGTATCCTTCTGTAGAACCACAATATTAAAAATCACAAGAATAAGCACAATATCATAAATGAATAACAAATATTAGAGTACAGATTTATGCAAATATTTATTAATGAATCGTAAAGTACATATATCTTTTAATCATTTCCTTCCAAGCAAGGAGATAAAGCCACTAAGGTGCGAGGGATTACTAGGTGTTAGAGAATAATAAGCATTATTAAAGAGAGAGGACAATAAAAGAATTAGAATTAAGAATACTGACGATAACGATTGACATTGCATTTACAGTTTTAAAGATCAAAGTTGACTGAGAAGCAAGAAGATGGAAGAGAGTTCCACAAGCGAGAATTGCGATAGAAGAAACAGTTAGCATAGAACTTACGGTTAAATCTAGCCATTTCAACTCTAAAATGATGAGACGGTGTCACCAATCTTGTGCTATACTTAAATTCATAAACTCTAGGTACCACAGAGGAAAGTTAATCGGAATTATTACCATGAATCTCTATCTATAAAAGGTAGGATGTGTGCGTGTGTGTGTGTGTGTGTGTGTGTGTGTGTGTGTGTGTGTGTGTGTGTGTGTGTGTGTGCGACGAATGCACGACCGCAACTTTCGACGGATGTGCACCAAAATTTACATGCACATGCTCCAAGTTAGCGGGAAAGCCAAGACCGACTTTGCATTTCCCAACTCCCATCGATAGTGGAAATAATCGATTTTTTCATCCTTCTACGGCAGTTTTCATGTAGTTTGAGGCCATTTTCTACTGGCCAGAGTGAGAGCCTATAGCTGGCTGCCACGAATAGGAAGGAAGATTCTATTGGCCAGCGTGAGAGCCAACAGCTGACTGACACAAATGTTAACTAGCATGCAAAAATATCGATAGCTGCATTCGTCATAAGTGGGAAAAATCTAAATCTGCATGGCACTTTACTCCAATTTGCTCATTCGTTTGCTTAAACTCAACATTGATTCTGATTCCGCAGAACTGGTTTGGGTGGGAAAAAGTATTTGTTAACATTCTTTTTTCATTCGGTTTTTCCAGTTACGAGTCCTTTTTTAAAAGCTGATTGTTTTGTGTTCATTTTGATTAGTTCTTTTTTCGTAACAAATTTAATGTTTAGTAAAAGAGCTTAGAAAAAATTCGCAGTGTGAGATAGGCAAGAGGTAAGGCATGTAGCAACATCAGCACGGCAAAGGGCACTCCTTTAAAGGCAAGGAATGGCAAAAATATTTTAAGTCAAGTGATAGCGATTGCTGTATGAGTCGTACGGTTTTTGAATCAAGCACGGGCAACGACGAGCCATGCTGCTAGTATATTTATATAAAAAGGCATAAGGAGCCTATTCTCTGGAATGTGACAGAAGCCGAGATGCCAGGTCGGGATCAATATCATTGCCTATCCTTCTTTAATTAAAGATTTATTAACAAATAATGCCTGTTCGAATTTCTAGGATGAGGTGTTATAATTATTCACACTATTAACATGCTGACTATTATACTCATCTTTGTTGTTGTTATGACAACGTTTTGACCGTGGTGCTGTCCAGCCTACATAAAGTGTATATCGATTCGGGTTACCTATAAGGAATTCCGAACAGAACTTTATTTAATATACAGGGCAAAAATATCAATGTGTTGAGATATCTCGTCTAGTTCTTATTTTTAGTAGTGCTCAGTTATTGCTTGCCCTATTTTGGCTGTGTTCAATCCATGGCCCTGGTTGAGTTTACTAGGACTCAGTATAAAAGGGGATGCCACAGACTAGCCTGGAATTTGAACTCGGCTCTATGATTTCACCTGTCAAAACAAATAAGTCACATGACCACATAGCTCTTCGCCCATTCTCCATATTATTTCTGCCACAAGTCACTCGCTTTCCGGGCCCTAACATTATTGCCTATGACCTTCCGATGATTCTCATGTCGAAATCTGGCTTACAGACATATCACGTAGAAATACCGATTTCCGTACGGTAACCGAAGTTAAGCTATGCCGAGACTGTTCAGAACCTAGATGGGTGACCGCTTGGGAATACCACGTGCTGCAAACTTGGATGTGCGGCTCATGTAATGGATAACGACTCGGAATTATTAATTGGAGAGACGAGTTCCAATTCCAGTCGACTTCAATATATTCACTTACGCAAAAATACGCTTGGAAAAGGCATGAATCCACCTCTTTTCCTCCCCGACTATGGGTTAATTAGTAAGACTTGTACCAGTAAATCATTATTATCTAAAAAAATATTAGAATCTAAAAATATTTTTTGGCTTTAATTTACCTACAAAAGGTTGATAAGCCGTTTTTCTTTTTTTATGCCGTGTCCTTTCACGAAGTAGGCGATCATGGCTCTCCACTTCCCCCTATCCCATGTAGCTCTCAATAAATTTCGTCCCTCTGCCACCTCCCCTAGACCACGTTCTGCCATTCACTTGCTTAAGCCCGCCAGGTATGTCATGCGTTGCTTTCCTTTGTCTCTCTTTCCCTCTATTCGACCCGTGAGTATCAGATTCTCCAGGTCTTCCTTTCTCATTACATGTCCAAGAAACTTCAGCTTCCTCTTCCTGATGTTAAGTATAAACACTCTTCTTATTTGCATCCTCTCCAAAACCTCATCTTTGATCACCCTCTCGGTCCATGATATCCTCAGCATCCTTCTGTAGAACCACATCTCTGTCACTTCGATTCTCTTCATCTTTGAGGAGACCATCCAAGATTCTCTGCCGTAAAGAAAAACAGATATCACATAACAGCTCGGTACTCTTTTCTTTGTTACCAAAGAAATCCTCATGTCTCGAAATACTCTGCCTAGCTTTTGGAATTCGTCCTTGGCCATCCCAATCCGTCTTCGGATCTCAGTGTCGCACTTAACGTCCTCTATCAAAATATTTCCCAGATATTTAAACGTCCGAACCTGCTTGATTTTAGCGTCCCCGACCTGTAAATCGCATTTCGGGCTCATCCTTTTACTGATGATCATGCATTCTGCTTTTTTGTAGTTTATCCTTTAGTCCATTCATTTTGCTCCTCTTCGCTACCTTCTGTAGGAGGTTTTGTAATTTCTTTTCCGTGTCTGCTACCAACACTGTGTCATCTGCATATCTTATGTTGTTAAGACTGTAGCCGCAAATGTTGAGATGTTTACTTTGGTTGGGCCCTGCAATAGCCTCAAAATTTTCAAATTGGATGGGCTGTATTCTTGAGTACCACATTATGGCAAAGACTATTATATTGTGTATAGTTAGGCAAAGAGACAAGGGTTTTCCAAGAGAAGAAGAAAAAACATGCTGTTCTATGCTATTTCTGTATACTGTTTCATGGGCCCCAACCAATGACAGAGAACACCCTTATAATAATACTGTACCAACTTCAAACTTTACTGTTTCTTTCGCTTATTTGGGAAGCAGTAATTCATCTGACATAGAGGGCGAGGTGAGAGACTTCTTTCTAAATGGAATCAATCTCATTGAATATCGTCAGAGGCAAACTCAATTACTTTTATCTTTGCAGAACACTGTCGTTCAATTGTCTGAGCTTCAGACAATGTGCCAGTTTGCAAAGGCTAGCCTAATTTCTCGGCTTTTCTGACTGATGAGGGTTTCTGCTTCACACAAAAGACTCGAGATAGTCTTCTAAGACAACGTTCATGCCAAATTCTTCGGTTATTTGACGTGCATTACATGCTACTGATGGGCGAAAAATTACATGCTACTGATGGGCGAAAAATTACATGCTACTGATGGGCGAAAAATTGCATGCTACTGATGGGCGAAAAATTGTCTAACCCGGAGTCTTTGAGTAACACGATTCTGCTCAGCATTATTTTCTTTTTTAGAATAAGCTTGGAATTTTGACTCGTACGTGTGTTGCTTAATTTTCATGTAGGGATTAATACTGAAGTTGTTTAAATTGTTTATGCTTCTGTTTAATAAAAGAAAAAGCATTTCAATGCAACCAGGATAATAGACTGGCTGTAGTATAAACGTATTTAGTAATTCATTTTGTTTAGTTTTACTTTTCTTTATTTTAGTGTTGCTTACAGCATTAGTAGGAGGCATGGTGGAGTAACTGATAGCGGCTAAGAGGTACGGTGGGGTAATGGATAGGTGAGTTCGAATTCCATTGCATTCACTTACGTGCTAATACCCTTGGAAAAGGTATGAATCCTCTTCTCCCCCCCCCCAGCTATGGGTAAATAGCAGGACAGACCGGGTCTATAGCTTTGGGTGGCAACTGGTTTAGGAAAAAGACAACACTGAATTCAAAACCTGATCCTTAGGGGTTGTGCAGTAATCTAACAACCTACTCACATATATTCATCAGTAGTACAGTTTTTTACAATTTAATCAAATTTGAGGATTGTTTAGAAACGAGTTACTTCTAAAAAATACGTGTAAATGTTTTCCATACTATATTCTTCTTCATTTTTGATATTTTTTTATTTCATTAATTAGAAATAAAATTTCTTTGAAACTTTCATTCTCTAATATTGGACGTTACTATACATGCATACAGATGGCTTTACGCATTAAGTAACTGAAAATTTATCAATGATTTTAACCAGTCGGATTCGGGTTACAAAGTTAAGACTGACAGGGAAAATCGAACGATCAAGCAATGGACTACAAGTTTAGTTTGCCGAAGATCGATTTACGATAATCGGTCTAATCCGAGCAATAATTACAGCCGCACGCACTACTTTTCGAAATTCCGAATAGGAAAATCTACGAAATTCGAACATTTTTCTATGGATGTCGTCTGCTAACTAGAGTTGGCTTTTGGCGCCAAACATGATCCGAAGCGTCTCGAAAGTTATCTTCGCTGTGTTCCACCAGATCTTGTAGAACAGGCAGGTGGTTATTTATGCTTCTAGTCAGACGGGCTTTAGTTATTACTTTGGTAATTTTGTTGGCTTTAAAGAATGAGAAATTTCAGAAAGGCCTCAGATTCTACTATAATTAACAAGCGACGTAATTGTCTGACGAAGATTACGGTACACGTAGTGGCATTTTAAAAGCTGGACAATTCCAAAAAAAATATTTGGCCCACAGCGGTTTCTGAAAAGTGATTTTGTACATGAATTTTGAAATTTTAATTTATTGTTTTAAATTAAAAACTACTACTAATAACAATCTATCCAATTTGATTTTCAAAATGACAAGAATCATGATCAAAATGAAATAGTGTCAATCAGCATAGAACGGTAGCAATGCCCGGATTTTACAATTATTAAAGATTAGCAGGCTTAAAGTGGGGTAGAATCGAATTCACTGGCTCAAGATTCAGAAAAGACACTCAAATCTGTCGCCTTTCACACAAATCAAACCCACACAATTGCACGAAAATCTATTGTCTTCCTGGTTTAATTTAAAATAAATGTTTTTATTTCTTTGCCAGTATACTCATTTTCAATGAGAGATGGAAAAGTTGATTTTCTTAAAAGTAAAATGAAATAAAAATCAGTGAAAATACTGTAGCAGTGATTTATAAAAGTTTTATGTTCTATAATTGAAAGATAAAGACTTTTTGCTGGTGACCAGTTTGTGTTTTATCATGTGATCGGCTAAATCATTGTGGCAAAATATAATTCCTATTGGAGACGGTGATGAAATAAAATACAAGTCCAGTGATTAAGAAAGAATTTATCAAGTTTTACTGGGTGAAATAAAAAACAGATCTATCTATCTATCTATCTATCTATCTATCTATCTATCTATCTATCTATCTATCTATCTATCTATCTATCTCATTCTGTTAACATCTATCTATCTATCTATCTCATTCTGTTAATATCTATCTATCTATCTATCTATCTATCTATCTATCTATCTATCTATCTATCTTAGTCTCTTAATATCTATCTATCTATCTATCTATCTATCTATCTATCTATCTATCTCAGTCTGTTAATATCTATCTATCTATCTATCTATCTATCTATCTATCTATCTATCTATCTATCTATCTCAGTCTGTTAATATCTATCTATCTATCTATCTATCTATCTATCTATCTATCTATCTATCTATCTCATTCCGTTAACATCTATCTATCTATCTATCTATCTATCTATCTATCTATCTATCTATCTATCTATCTCAGTCTGTTAATATCTATCTATCTATCTATCTATCTATCTATCTATCTATCTATCTATCTATCTATCTATCTCATTCTGTTACCATATATCTCTCAGTTTATCTAAGGCTGTTAATATCTATCTATCTATCTATCTATCTATCTATCTATCTATCTATCTATGATTTTATTATGAGGATTAATGTCTGGACACTGAAATTAATATTAACCCACCAATGTTGGTAAGATATTCAGAATATACTAAACAAAATAAAAAATAGTGTGAATTCTAGTTTATAATATCAGTTTTTAATATGTATATATATTTTTTAAATGCCATGAGCTTTAATTTGCAAAAGAAAAAGAAAGAAAAAAATACAAACAGAAGAAATATACGTATAATCTCAAATAACGCGTTTCGGCATTAAATAAGCCGTAAGGCGTTGATAAACCGTAAAACAAATCCAAATCCGAATCTCCGAGATAAGCTGCGACCCGAGTTTCAAGAGCCTTTGTTGTTTAACTCATATCTTGGGGGGGGGGGAAAGAGATGGATTCATGCTTTCATTAAGGGCATTAGTGGGAAAGTGAACGCAACTGACCTTGCTGATTCTCGCCTTTATAAGCCGATAGCGGATAGAGTATCCTCACATATTAGAAATATTTACATCAACTTATTTGGTAGTGTGAGAACTTTTTTTTATACTACATCAGTTTTGTTCATCATATTGTGAAAGTATCATCATCATCATCATCATCGGTCATATGACCGGGTGTGGACGTAGAGCTCCTGCGTCACGGACCGATTCCTTCCCCAGTGGCTCTTGAAATCCACTGAGGTATTGATCAATGCGTAGCATGTCTCGGGCAAGAAGTCCACGTGGAGTTCATCCCGCTTCCGGTTAAAACACAGAAGATGTTCACCGACATGAAGGCTCACCTTCACTTCGGACCCGTAGCCGTTGGTTCCATTGGGCGAAGCATCCACCCTAACCCATTGTCTAGAGTCTAGGAAGCACTCCGCCTAGTGCTGCCGTGTAATCACCACACTGCATACATAGCTTTAGAGTCCAATCCGTCGTACTAAATCGCTGTTGTCCTTATAAGGCACATCCGTTTTTTGAGAGTTATGAAGTCATACTTCTCACCAGTAAAAAATACCTTGTTCGGGTTCCTGATTTAGGCGTCGATAAATCCACCCTGTACCAGATAATCCTGGGTTACCTGATAACAGTAGCACTCTTAGAGCGATCTGACATATTGATATCTATTGTTTCATTATTAAGACATTTTTATGTTTATACATTCTTTTTATAGATACTAATATTTAAGTAAATGCTCTGTTTTATTATAAACGGTATTAATAACATTTACCGGCTTGAATGTCCGAGAAATTTTCATAGAAAATATTCGTTCTGCGACAGGAATCGAACCTGAATCCTATACGGAACCGTCATTTAGCCTGACGTGCTTTAACCGATTGAGCCACAGAGGAGCGTTCAGTTAGCAAGGTCAATTTTACTGCTTTTAAACTTCAATCATCCATTTATCTCTCACGTACATTCATATCTGTCGTATGATTGGGTCATCGGCGACTAAACTTGTTTTCACCACCTGGTTTTTCTTGTGAGGAGGGTGGATCGATACCCAATAGAATTAAAACAGGACCTGTTAAAGTGCAGATGAACCTACTTATAAGCGCAAAAGTCATCTAGTACAGTGTAGTAGACTGGACTCCATAGCCATTTAAGGTGATAACACGTTACTACTGAGAGGACACATAATTTCTATAGTGTAGGAGAGTTATAATTATAAACCCCCTAACATTTATATATCCAAAAATACTCGTGAAAATGAGAAACAATAAGACGTGGAAAAACAAAACGAGTATTATTTATTATCTGGTTGTTATGTGGTTTTGGAGAAATGAGAAACAGTAATACTGAATGAAATTGTGAGTTTAGTGTAGATTAAATATGTATCTGAATCTGATAGAATGGTATGATAAAGAATAAGTAAACTGTATACAGTCTTTCTCGTATGTTTTTATAGACGTGTGTAATGAGTGTCTAGATAATTTAGTTGGAAAATACAAGAAGTGGTTTTCTTAACTCGAAATTTTGTTGAGTGCTAAAAGATAAATGTTACTATTATGACCTGAAAAGGAAAAGGAGATGACATTTTAGTTGATGAACGTGTTAACGACCTGTCCGTGTGAACTGCTTGTCTGATAATGAGAATGTTACGTGTATATGTGTGTAAAGCAGAAAAGGTGGGTCGATTGTCATTGGTTTAGAATGAGTGAATTAATCATAACTATAATTGTTATAATCATTTATTATTATTATTATTATTTGATACTATAATTAATTTTAATTTTTTATGGACAAGACGCGCTTCTTGATTGCTCAAAGTTTTGATGATTCAGCCCCACAAACAACTAAATGAAGCAACACTTTTTTAATCTCTCAATGACCAAAGATTTTTCAAAGGTGGTGTCATCCGGGTCCTAACTTTTGATTCCAGAAGTGTTAGTCTCACTACAGTGTGTGTAAATGAAGTTTCGCATGCTAGTCCTTAGTCTGAGGAGTTAGGTCTTCTTCAAAGCTTAAAATTCTTATAATCTAAATATATTTTATGGCATTCAATAACCTGCAAAATATTGATAAGCTGGAAGAGTAATCAATCAAATTAATCATACAGGTTTGTAAGATGATATAGGATTTTGAATCCAAAATAATACAAAGACCTAACTTAGAGTTCTTCTATCCTCGTTTTGAGGTTAAATAGTGATTCACAAGCTAGATCCACTTAAGTGAATTCGATCAACAGTGAGTGCTCCTCAGTTGGGATTTTTCTTTTGGCTAAACTTAAAATTTAAAAGGTTTTATTTAAAAGGTGTGTATATAAAGAGAAAAGATGGCGATGAATTTAACGTGACCGTCAACCATTGGTTGAAAACAAAGTCTAATTCGGAACATTGTTTTACATTTATCAGTTGAGTTTGTGATAAGGAGCTTCACCTAGCTAGACATTTGAGATTATTTTCAAACTCTTTCGGCCTCAGTGCGTTCCCTTTTGTTCTTTGATTGTTACAGATGAAGACGTGGAATATAATCAGCAAATGAAAGACAGTGTAGAGGTGGGTGCCTATTTATAAATGTAAGATTGGTGTCCGGTTGTGTTTCGCACTTAATTTGCTGGAACCGGCGTATTGAATCTAAGGATCGAAACGGTCGACGGAACACGTCAGTCATTTGGAGATAAACGCCGCCTGGTGACCGGCGCGTCTGGAGCTCTTGAATGGAAAAAGGAGCGAAAACGAGAAAACGAATCGCGAATCGTCGATCACAGTGAAAACAAATTAATGTTCCTTTGTGTGAATAACAGGAAGCAATAGCGATGAAGAAGAAGAACAAGAAAGTTAGAGAAGAAAATTAACAAAAGAATTAATGAATAAAGGGGAAGATTTTAAGAACGGTCCGAATTAAAACGAGAGTCAAAATGTGATTGAAAAATCCAAAAATCAAAAAAAAAAAAATAAAATAAAATAAAACAAAGAAAGAAAATTTGAAGCGAAATGTACAGGAAAATTAATGAAAAACATTTAAATTTGTTCAAGACATAAAAATATCTCCAGACTATTTTGAATGTATTCGCAAAGTTAAAGAACGAAAAAAAAAAAGAAAAAAAAAAAGAAAAGATGAGCAGTGAACCCTTCTAAGAAATTTTATTTTCGTTTCTCAATAAATTTAGAGGGAAACTAATATTTGTTGCGTATGTGTGGGTAGTGTAACAGTTACCGGTGCGAATAGAGATATCGACAAACTGAGTTCAAACTCCGGCCTCATCCCTTGTGTTTACTTCCGCATAAAATTCTATTGACAAAGATATAAATCAATTTCTACTATCCGACTAGCTATATATTAAATATTCAGGCAGTCTGTGCTGTTTAGCCTTGATTGGTCACCAGTCCAGGAGTAGATTGAAGAAATCAACGGGAAATCACTCCAATTCATTGACCAGGCGTGCCGCCGTTTTGTTTTATTTCAAATGATTTCTTTCAAAATAAATAACTGAAACTGCTTTCAAAATAAAATAACATTATGAAAACTCAGTTACACATTGCATCATTGTAAATAGTTTTACGCTTCAAAAATCAGATTTCGTAGAAACATCGGTTCTCGTGAGATTACCAAAGTTAAGCAACCTCGAGCCTAGTCAGTACATAGATGGGTGACCGCTTGGGAATACCAGATGCTGCAAGCTGGGGCGTGCGAGTGGTGTAATGGATAACGACTCGAAATTGGCAATCGTTGAGCCGAGTTCCAATTCCAGATGGGTTCGTTATATTCAGTTACGCGCAAGTACCTTTGGGAAAATTATGAATCCAATACTCCCCCAGCTATGGGTTAATTAGTAGGGCTTGTATAAGTAAATCATTATTATCTTCAAATAATTCTTAAAATATAAAAATAGTTTCTGGCTTTAAATAACTAGCAACAAGTTGATAAGCCGTAGAAAATGAATCAATCAATTAATCGATTCTAAAACAGTTGTCCAAACCTGTCTCTGATACCAATCTATTCCTCTGCATAATTTGATAGGTTAATAATTATCTGAAAAATGAAAATAAATTTGCACCACATAGAAACATCGTTTCCCGTACGATCACCGAAGTTAAGCTTATGATGTCATCTGTCTTTTCCGCGTCGACAAAACGTCTGTGACTTGTCACGCCACAAGCTGACGTCAGTCACCGGTCGTCACGTGATTCCATCTTAGACGAAGGGAGATAATTGCATTCTGCGCCCTTACACCAACAAACTCCCCAAGAAGGTTATTCATTCTTGTCCCTTGCTTCTCTTTCCTTTAATATCCAATATCATAGCTAATTTTCCTCATTCGGTGTCTAATAAATGTCAGCTGTCCCTTTATCATTTTTTAAGAATGAAAATAAATTTACACCACATTGAAACATCGTTTCCCATACGTTCACCGAAAAGCTCATGATGTCATCTATCTTTTCTACGTCGAAAAAACGTCTGTGGCTTGTAACACCACAAGCTAAGGTCAGTCACCGGCCGCCACGTGACACTCGTGACTCCATCTTAGACGAAGGGAGATAATTGCATTCTGCGCCCTTACACCAACAAACTTCTCCAGAAGAAGGTTATTCATTCTTTTCCCTTCTCTTTTTTTCAATATCCAATATCTTGGCTCTTTTTCCTCATTAGGTGTTACATAACTGTCCCTTTATCATTGTAAGTATCAGTAATTACAAGTGCCTAATACAAGGGGAAATCTTAATAATCAACCGTGACTCTTAATAAAAGGAGGAATCACAAAAATCATTTAATAGGGCAAAATGCGTGAAATTAATAAACAGATTGATCGTTGGAGTCGAAAAACTTCCTCAAAAAAAAAAAAATTAAATAAGATAAACTTGTCCACAACTCGTGTCTAGCAGGCACCTCTAATTAATGGAGGCAGCAAAGTAAATTATTATAACCGATTCCGTAATTAACAGGTGAATGAGAAAAAGAGTCCAAACAAAAAAAACGATCCGCCCTCGGTATGATTGTAAACTAAATCCGCGTCCTGGGTAAGACGATAAACTACGTCCAACAGCAAGGCCTCTGATCAGGCAGTTTTGAAGAGCATGGAACCACCTCTTAATTGCTGGTGTTTCCAGTTCCACCCAGACCCGGAGTGGTAGCAACTGTTAGGCTCCCAGCTATGGGAAAATAATTAACACCCGAACTGGGTCCAAAACACTATGAAATGTATTTCCGGTATTAAAACCTATTTAGGTTTTAATACCAGAAAGACATTGTGAAAATATTACCCGCAATAAATTTTTAAGAAAACAATATTACCAGCAATACATTTTTGGAAAAAAAATATTACTATTTTTTTAAAAAATATTACCAGCAATAGATTTTTGAAGAAAAAAAATATTACCAGCAATACATCTTTGGAAAAAAAATATTACCAGCAATAAAAATTTTGTCTGTATTAAATAACCCATTGAGGTTTATATGCCGTAAAACAAAACAAAACAAACATATAGATAGATAGATAGATAGATAGATAGATAGATAGATAAAAAATATTACCAGCAATAAAACTTTTGTCTGCATTAAATAACCCATCGAGGTTTATATGCCATAAAACAAAACAAAACAAACCAATAGATAGATAAAAAATATTACCAGCAGTAAAAAAATTGCCTGCATTAAATAACCCATCGAGGTTTATATGCCGTAAAACAAAAACCAAACCAAATCCAAGGAGTTCTAAATATATTGACTCACACATAAAGACCAGGAAGGAGGTTTTTAAAGATATTTGGAGGTTTTGCATGCGAATTATTTCGGCAGAGTTTTGTCATAACACGGTAACATTTTTGTCAATAGCTTTTACTAGAAAAAATAGTTACTTTTAGTTATGAGCAAAAAAAAAAAAAAACCTTACTTAAATACAAATCCGAGAAAGTCAGAAAAGAGACAATGACGAAACGGACGATAAAAAACATTATGGCGCTTATTCAACTGTTACATAAGATTGAAATAATCTCATGGAGATAGAATTCTCGCCATTGAATAAGAGATGTTTACTGGCCAGTCCTCAAAATCAATAAAAATCAGTACTTAGTATTATTTTCTTGTCATTTTCTTTCAACCGTTCTGGAAATGGCGTTGTTAGTGAATAATTCTTTTGTTCGCCTCGTCTTTGCTTTATAGATTCCACCTTAAAACTATCTTCCATTGTACTGCATGCCTGCTACCGGCTCCCATTTTGTCTACTATCATTTGGGAGGGGGGCGACGGCTAGTTATTGTTGCCAGGCGAATCTGAGTCTTAGTTTCGACTTTATAGGAAAAGTATTTGATAATAAGTCTATTCATATATAATCGAGGTGTATCCAAAAAAAAAAACACTGTACACAGTTGGGCCACAAGTGTTGAAGTTATACGAAGAAGAAATCAACTGCAGAGGATTGGCTATGTGGTGAAACTGGAGAACTATCGTTTTCGAATGATCCTCCTATTCGGAGAAGTGGTCTCTGTCCGGGTGTATAGGTAGATTAATGGTTATCGGCGATTCGATTTCAGGTTTCAGCCTAATCTATTACATTCGCTGTTATTCTCTGCCCAGCTATGAGTTAAACTGTAGGGTAGATTGTGCTCTCTAACCAAGTCAACAGAACATTGAATTCGAAACCGCAGCGAAGGTTATTTCTCCAGATGTCACGGCAATTTGTAGATAATAAGAATGATGGATCTGTGGAGGGTAATTAGTGACCATGTCCTGAAAAAACAACAACAAAAAAAAAACAAAACAAAAAACAACAACAACAACAAACAAAAAATAATGCCTGTGTTCGAGGGTAAAGTGGCGTTCCTCCGAAAAAGAATGAAAGCATTAAAAAAACATACCAATTTTAGGAAACGGAGGTAGACAATATGGCGATATAGTAACCTAAGATGTATCAGTCAACCTGCCTCCGTGAAACAAGTTGCCGTAAAAAGCGAAATAAAAAAGACAGATCTGAAAACCCGGAGCTTCCCACCAGCTGATATACCTTCTTTTGTAGTCAATGCCGTAAAGCATGCCTCTCTTTTATAGGCGTCACGAATCATATGAAAGAGGTTCAAAGGTCTTCCGGGTGTGTGAAGCAAATTCATATTACGTAGTTATATAAAATCAGGTACATTTCCCATGTTACTTTCCTTGTCGCTATGAAGTTCAGTTCAAGAATAAAAGATGCTTCAACAAGTTTCACAACTAAGCAATTCAAACAGAATTTCCAAACAAAGAACTTTACCAAATAACAGAAGTCACATCACGTGAGGACTACCAACAGCAGCAACAACTAAAATGAATAGCATATGTGACTTGAAGAGAAAATAATGATATAATCAAAATGTTGACATTCCACACTAATTCGAATAAAAGGTTAGGAAGGAAATTCCCATTACTACTTGAAAGAGCGATAACAGCGATTGGACATGAGAAAACTATTTTCCTAAAAGATAGTGCTTTAAAAGAAAGATGTTATAAATTTCAGACCAAAAAATCCTGGCTGTTCCGACAGTAAATGCCAAATGTTTCCTTATAGGGAAACGGTTAATACTACCATTGTCATACATATTTGAAAGATAGAATTATTTGAAAACTTACAGCAGAATTGGCCTAAAATTTACTTTTGCCAGATTACAAATGTAGTATTAAGCTGAACTGAAATCCCTATTGTCTTTTTAAGCAAGCATTTCGTAAAGAGAAACAGCAATGTTTTAGACAGGGATTTGAATAGATATGAAGAATATGATGAGTTATTATTGACAAAAATAAGGAAGAAGAAAACAAGAACGTCTGCAAACAGGGAGAACCCGGTCATCTGTAAGTCTAAAATTTGCATCTGTGTTGCGGGTATAAACACTTTTAATGAGAAGTTATGAGCTCCTCGTACATTTGACCTGCTAACAATTTTGATGGACTCGTGTATGTGCAAAGAAATAATAAGACATTGAATTTGAACAAAGAAACATTAACAAATATATAGACAGAATATTTTACAAAAGAAAATATGAGAAATGAAATGAAACATGAAAAGTTTAAAGTAGCCTTAAGTGTCTGTAATTGATTACTGACATTTTGCAGGCGCGAAAGAATACGCCTCTTTGCTATGAAAAGTCACCGAGAATGTGATCGAGTCTTTCAAATCTCGCGCTGCCTGTAATTATCGTCAATGGGCGACAATTCCAAAATCTCACCGAAGCGAAATTTTATCATCAGTGGGAGGTAATCCAACAAATGCTTTCCCCACATTAAAGAAGATTCTCTTATGAAAGCTTATTTGTTATGTATGTTTCTAAATGACTTGGCCTATGTATATTGCTGCCACTTTTTGTTGCTGCAAGTATTGAAATTTTAAGTGAGGACATGTTGACTGTTGGTTTACTTGAATTTCTATCAGGTGTTTGTGTGATATTTTCAATGTAAGCAGATTTTAAACGACCAATTGTTACATTGTCTTTATTTTTTTATGATAAAATATTTTTCATGTTGTTCAAACACTTTACCTAAACCTGAATAATTTAGGAATAATGGCTTCTTAACCATGTTATTCATGAGAAAATTATAATCGTAGTTATGTAGATATGAAGGTATAAAAGTTTGTTGGTCACACATCTAGTGGTTTTAAAAGATAACCTAATTTATTTAGTCTTTTAGTTTGTTGACAAAGTCTGTAGATGGGGGT